TTATTTAGTCAGTTAGCTCTTATTCGTACATTTTGAGCCAAAGTGGAGACTTTGCTGTACACCCCGAGAAAAGGGCCGACTGTTAAACCTTTATTTTGAGCAATTAACCCTTCTTGAGTTTACGTTTCTGTTCTTGGATTAAAACGATTATTCGCTTAGCAGTTCACTAGGTTCCTCGACATTACATTTAACAAGATAAAAGTGAGGAGCTATAGAATCCAACGAATGACAAGGATATTGAACGAGATGCGCGGTGGCCGACATGCGGCAAGAACTAAGGCGATGTTGCCTGCACCGGACCTGCACGCGCGCGAGAGCATGCCTCACTCGATCCCGAAGGGGTAACTGAAGGGTAGAGGACAATACCTGTTTGCCAATGGCGATTACCTGGTGCCGCTCCACTTTTCCCTGTTTCTGTTCCCGCATTTTCTATTTTGAGTTAAAGCCCAAATGGAGGCTTCTTTTACGCCCAAAAGGTGCGATTGCTAATTTATTTTTGAGTTTGAATAAAGAGGTATTTTAACCCTATCTCTGGAGTTGTTATTTACGTACAAGAACTCCTCGAATAGCCGCGACACTTATTTTAAGTGTCGCGGCTATTCGAGAATCAAGAATTTAAGTGTAGCGGCTATCTTTGAATGCTAAAATAGTGAAGAAGTGTAGCGGCTTCTTCAGTATTTTAGCATTCAAAGAACTTTGTTTTAGCTAGGTTGCTGGGCCATTGTGCTGTTTAGCAAGCAACGAGATCAAACAGAGTGCCTTAACTCCTTACTCTAGTATTTCCCTGTTTCCGCCCCCCGAACAGCTAGTTATGCCTAACTTCATCCAGAACCATTAATATTCTGCCATAATTTATCAAATTTGAATCCGCGTATATAAAAGAAAAAAAGAAAAAGAGGAAAAACAACATTTCTTTGACAAAATCATAATAATATATAAAATATTTTAACAACGGAAACTATAAAAGTAAATAAACGTAAAATATTCAGAGGAAAATTTTACGGTCATTGTTTTTAAATTAATGAATTACTTTGTCATTTGTTTGTTGACTTTATAGTCATAGTAAAATTGACAAATAGAAAAAATTGTAAGCCATTTGAAAGCATAGAAAAAAGTTTTAAAAGGTAGAGATTTTAGGACACTCCTGCTCAAAAAATAAGCACAAAATAGACCACATGGTAAACAATAAAGCAAAGGCATACAAAAACACATGTATTACGAACATCATATCGCCAAAGACCAAATGGGTCGGAAGATTGTGCAATGGAATAATTGCGCTAATAACGAGTATGATACCCTCCAACTGATATGCATGTTTGACAACGGCGAGTCAAGCAGGCAAATACTGTCTTTGATCGCTTGTTGTGGCAATGGAGCCCATTCCTGTGTAGTAATACATGTTGGAGCTTGTGGAGGGTGCCTAGAGGCCCATTGCGACTTCCTATATTTCGTCCCAACATGTCCCACACATGCTGTATGGGAATCAGATCCGGTGATCTAGCAGGCAAAGGCAGATGTTGAATGGTTTCGCTCTGCAAATAACTCCGCATCACTCGAGCTCTAAGCGGGCGGCATTATAGTCTATAAATATCGCATCGGTATCCGCTGTAGCGATAAAAGGACGCACAACCGTTAGAAAAATTTTGTCGCAATAGCGGACGTCTGTGATGGAACAACTAAAATCACTGAGATGTCGGTGCGGCCATTCGTAGCTATCCCAGACCATACAAGTAAGCCTCCTAATCTGTAATGGTCTCTATCTATGATGTTTGGGGCCCGAGATCGTATCATCGACTCTCGCCATATCATTGCCCTTCGGGAATCATTCTGGATGTTAAATCGAGACTCATTCGTACAGAATGCGTAACCCCATTGCTCTGGTCTCCAACTGCGATGTTAACGGGCCCAATTCAACCGCTCTTTGAAATGCGATGGGGACAAAGGAACGCAAAGATCAGGTCGTCAGGCGTACATTTCACCTTCATGCAGTCGAGACGACACAGCTTGGCGGGGCATGAGTTGTCCTGCAGCAGCGGAGAGATGCGGCGTGAGATATCATGTTGTTAGTGATCTACGGCGTCCTGCATACAGCAACAGGAAACGATCGTTTGCCGTTGTGGTAATCCTCCGGCGCGCAGACCCATGTCTTTGGCAGGGGTTTGATCCATGTGGTGACAATGCATATTTGAAGAATTGCTCCTCAGAGCAACTTTGTATTGCAAAGCAGTTTGTTTCAATTTCATTATACAAATTTTTGATCGAAATTAATATTTATAACGGAATTCACAACTTAAAGTGAAATTTTGTTATAGATACACAAACATTCATCAATTAATAATAAATTGCTTTCCATAACATCTTTAGTTCAAGCCCAAGAGCTAGATTTATTTTCTTTACTATTGTGGTGAAATATGTGTTTTACAAACTGAGTTTTCTTTAGAGTTTCGGTTGTGATTTTGTGGTAAAAAAGAGGTGATAATAATATAGCTCAGAAAATTGTAATTAATTTCCTGGCAAACTAGAATTATTCTGCGATAAGAAATAAAAATAGAAGAATGGGGAAAATGTGAAAAAAATGGGGAAAAGTTTAACCTTTGACTGTCATGATTTGTCCCATACAGCTGAAGCTCGTTCTTTTCAACAGCTATATTTCAAGGAAATCTCTACACAAATTTCCTTTGTACTTGGGATTTCTATAGATTATGTTTAGGTACATTTCTACCTTTAAAACAGACCGTTTTACAGAAATGAGTCCTCGTCTTTCAGTTCAAATTTAATATTGTTAAGTACTTCATAGAGTTTGACTTGCTTTGGTTTCATAAACTACTATCAAACTCCTAATAGACGTAGACTGAATTATTGCTGGCCTGAAGTAACAACAGAGTCTTTGAAAGGTTTAAAAAACCTTTTTATTAAACCAAAATTTGAATATAAATGCACGTCTCGTGCCTGACAGTATAAGACAGTGTTTGTGGCGATGTAACTTAAAGTAATAGTTTCAAAAGTTAAACTAAGTCTAGAAGTCAAAGACTACACAATTGATTTACCGCGTAGTTCGCTCGAAACTTTTCACCAGCATAGCAATTTAAATGTCGGAAGCAATAACGCAAAGCCGTAGAATTACAACATCATCAGAGCTGGCAAACCTGGTAACGTGACCTCGAGAGGCAGAAACATTCTCTATCTTCTAAACCGGAAACCTCAGCTTAAATACTCTTTTAACTGATTTGCATTTTGGTGAGGAAATAGAAAGGAGAATTGATAGTAGATGTTTAAATTATAATAATTAATTAATTAAAATAATAATAGCTCTAAAACTTTATCTAATTATATCTAATTATTTCCAATACAAAGAGAAATTTTATGTTGAAGGTAATATAAGTTGTGCATGAAATAATACGAAAATTAGATCAATAGCAAGAAATAAAAATTATTCGTTGATATATGTACAATCTGTATATGATATTAACAACCTATAGTGGTTCACTCAAGATATAGATAAAACAATTGTAAAAGTTTATATAGTTGCATATAGCTTTTGTTTAGTTACTTTCTTTGAAGATTCTTACTTTCAGTATGTTAAATAATGTTATCACTTCTCTGGGCTCTTTTGGAAGAATTTACGAAAACCACGCAATAACATTCGAATAACTAGAAAAGTGCGTTTTTTACCACGGTAAGAAACGTACTTAAGAGCTGTCTTAACCTTAGCACATGTGTGTACCACATGTAAATATTTTCTCTAGAATTTCTAAATTTCAACCACCTCTGTTGTTATATAAGAAATGCCAGATGTTGGTTGCATTTTGCAGCGGTTGCTAATAATACAAGCATATATTTTCAGAACTTTATCTTTTTAACTTTCAAAATGATAAGAGCGCATACTATTTAAGATAATTTCTGAGAATTTCAAATTTAGTTATTTTCGATTAAGTGCCGCTGAAATTCTTCGCAAATACTCTGCCTAACATATCATCCTAATCTGCGTACCCTTTTATGTGAAAATCTCTAACTTTTTTATTACTTATACTTAGCAGAAACTACATACGGTATATTTTATTTTAAATCGTGATTTTGAAAGCATACTGGATGCAACTATTTCTGCATACCTTGGTCTATTTTTAGAAATTATTTTGTTATGCGATACAGAATTTAAGTATGTGCTGCTTATACAGAATTTAAGTATGTGCTGCTTTGGTTGTTTTATAATTAGTTTTTTCTATTAAGGTTTATTGAAAAGAGGCTGTATTTTGAAATTCTTTTGCGTAATATAGTAAATCAAATGTTAATTGGATACATGCTGTATAATTAGTTATAACATGATAGAAAATATTTGTCTATTCAAATTTGATAAGTTATGATGTTTGTCTACTCAACCTATCAACTATAACATATTTTTATAAGTTTGGCAAGTTATTTTACTTGCACGTTTAACTCAACATTCTATTCTCAAATAACTTTTAAAAAATTGATCTATGTATATTTAAAATTAATAAATAGTTATCAGAAAGAGGATAAATATAATTCTGGCATTTAAAACAATGAGAGTATATTTTGTTTTTCCCGCCGTCTATAATATGATCACTGAGATGTTAATGAGAAATTTTTGCAAAACAAATCGTCCTATCTAGTTTGTTTAATTCATATAGAAACTGTAAAATTAAAGATAGAAATTCGTCACCAAGTTTGAATTTTGAAATTGTTTAAATTTTAGCGAAGAGATGAATTCACGATTTTGGTCATTGTTCTCACAGCGATTACGGAAACTTGCTAGATTATAAAGAAATTTCCCGCTTCTGTATTTTTAAAAGGCATGGCAGCTGGTGAAAGGTGTTCATTCAGATGCGTTTGGCAGGCAATTGGTTTAAGTCTGTTCTTTTGTGGCAAACAACTAAATTGAGCTTTTTTTAGTGTCGGAAGCACTCGGAATGATTCTTAGGAACCTTTCGACAACCCTATCCAGCTGCTGACCTATCCGTCCTCCCCGGCGCTCGGCGAGTGGTACGGTCGCCAACGCTCGCTGAAATGTTATCGACCGTGGAGAGCTCAGACCACCTCGGATATCCTGTTGCAACGGTGAGTGTATTTTTCTTATTTCTCCATCCTCTTCAACTCCAACTTATTTTTAAAAAATGTCCTTACTTAAGAAATAACCATTAAATTAATTTTTATCATTTATACTGCTAAGAGCTAGATCAGGGTCACCCATGGGACAATTTTCGTCTTTAAAGAAATTGAATTTTCACCGGTTCCGACGTCCGTTTGTAAAATATGAAAAGGAAAGAATCCGCATCTTTCCTCATAATTTATTAGGAAGTAAACACAGTAAAGTTTGTTTTTATTCTTACATTCCAAAGTCATATACAGAGCACTTAATTAAGCCCAAAAGTATGATCTTGTAAAATCCCTGCAGTACCCATCAAAATAAATGTTTTTGGCTATAAAACTATTAACTATTCAGTTTAGGAACAACTATACATACTATTTAAATTTAGAAAGGAAATAATGTGTTTGAAAAGTGTATAAAGCTTTGCATTAATCTGAACCCGCTAACTTTCACATTGCATTAAATTGCAGATAAGTTTAAAAGCTATTATAAAATAAACTGAGAAAGTATTATTTATTAAGATGCGTATATCCGTAAATGAAGAACTTCTTACTTTCTCAGATTCATCAGGTATGTAAATGAAGACGATGCTATTATTGCTGCTGGAGCCCAACACAAAATTGCAGAGAAGCGTCGGTGTCTAACTCATGAGTTAAAACACGCGGCCATTTCAAGCGTAGTTATTATTTAAAAACTTTAGAGAATGGTCGATTTACAAACGAAGCATTTTTGATTGCATATTTGCAAACCAAGCTGTGGTATCCTTACAGATAGTGAAAATTCGAAAGTAAAATTCATATTAATTTTTAAACTCAGAATTATTATAAGAAGTTTTATGTTTTGTCTACTGTAGTCTTATTATTCAATATTCATTTTTAAGGTTATTTTGCTAAAATATTCTCGTTGGTAAATTTAAACTCTGTCCTTTTTATATTTTGAAATGAATATTATGAAACTTTATACTGATTCCATTCATATTACGTATCATCCAATAGAAGGAAACAAATAAATAAGCAACAAAAGTAAATACAGAAACACTTTCTTAGTTAACATTTGTACATAAGTGTTTCGCCGTACATTTTTAACGTCGAAATACTAACTCTCTGTACTTTTCTTTATTATTAAATTTAATTCCCTCGAGAACTTTATTAATTTCGTTTCTTTTTAATATCATAATGCGAAAGAGTGATAAATTAAAATGGTAAAAAGGATAGCATATCAATATTAATTAACAGTTTAGCTAGAAAATGTATATTTTATATACCCACATAAAATATATTAATTATTTACATAGTATCCAGGAAAAAAAAGATATAGTTAATAGATTTTAGACTTATTAATTACATTTTATTTTCAGGCAAAGAGCCTTGTAAAAGAAGCTTATGATGAAGCTTCACGTGTTAAAGAAACTCTAAACAACGGTTAAAATAAAATAAGTGTCTTCTTTCCCGATTTGGTAGAATCCTTTGCAGCTTAGAGCAGTTAAACTCACAAATATGTTTGAATTCGTCATAAACATTTTAAAAAGATTTTCCTAGAAAAATTGGAATTTTCTAGTAATTTTATTTCGATTTTAAGTCAACCTTTGTAACATTTCTGATGCAAGAATGAATACTCATCTGAAATGATTCAAAAGGATTTAATTGTTTTATCATTAACATTTCATTTTCTCGTAAACACTCTGCACTTTTAAAGTAAACTGCGAATAGCTTTAACTGGAAATAATCAGCGGAGCAAGAAACGATGCAGTGGAAATAGCAGAATATTAATTAAAGACTCTACCAAAGTTTTTAAATTATACAAGTTAAGAAAAAAATATTTTGTATTGTGAAGAATTGTTTTCATGAGGTTTCTAAATAATATATATTGATTTTATTCCATGTTATTTTAATTCTTTGTACTAGGACATTAAAAATTTACTGCTAGCCAGATAAAGTTAACTGTAAGGGATGCTCTGTCACTTGCGAAGTATCGCTATCCTCAAACAGTTCTTTAATATAAAATCAAACAGTTCTCTGCCTATTCTAAATTTAACAGTATCCTCCTACCGTTTTGTATTTAAATAAAATAGAACCGTTACAGGCACCGCCCGACATGTGAACATTACTTTCGTTGTTCAGGAGAAAGCTTGATTAGTTGCGAACAAAGAGGTTTCGCACTTAGCATAACTGTACAAAAGCTGCATTGTCTAATTATGAGTGGATTACAAATAATTACATACAGATCAATGACCAATTTTTGTTGCTTTGTTGCTTAGTATTATGATGAATAATTTTGTTTGGTAATGAAGTGAGACTGACTCAAAGAATTGCAGTAATAAACATTAAATTAATCAACTTATTGACAGTACTATCTATAAATACTGCAGTCACTTTAAACGGTAAATTAGTTCTTTCTTAAACTATATTGATAAATAGAAGTGAATTATTACAACACTTACCTTAAATATTAAACTATATTATATGATAAAGTGTAGTTTCCTAAAAGACAGCAGTTTTGAAGACCTACGGCATCCTATTACTTTCTCCGTCGTCGGAAATAGAACCTGTGGTAAAACTCCCATGAGCGTGTTTTTTCCTCTTGTTATAATATTGCATTTGATAATTATCATGTAGCTTAAGTATGACCTTCATTCCGTTAAGTATTAATTCATTATGTCAGTATGGTTAGCCAATGAGATATTTTGCAATATAATAACTTTACCTATGTAGATGTCTTCTGATGAAAAGTTAAATTTAAAACATTTATATTTCCCAAAAGTATAACTCTTTTTGTATTTATGAGTTAAATAGTGTTCACGATTGGCATATGATATATAAGCGAATAATGTTGCATGTGCATACCCTTTGAGATTTATAACTCACAGCTCTACCAAGCAAACAATCATTCTCTATGCGACATCTAAATTGTCATACAACTGGTTTTCAAATGATATTTTAAGATGTAAGCAATGTAATTAAACTTCCTTGCTGTATTTTAAATGTAGTATAAGAATATTCAGTATGATTAAACGTATGGAAATAATATCTCTTATCATTCGGTAATTCAAAATAATTAATAAAACTTTGGACAAAATCATAGAAAGCAACTGTTTACCTACAACTGGAAAATTTATTTTACATGCACTGAAATTAATCGAGGTAGTTCAGCAAATAACTAAGCAATGCGCAGCTTCAGGGCCACTAGCTGATAGGCCTTTAGATGCAGCCAATCATAAATTTAAAACTTGAAACTTCAGCTTAGAGTCGTCATTTTAAATCAAAAATAACTGGTCTGAAATAAAGCTGTTCACAGTTGAGTATCCTAGAGAAGACGGAAAATCTTGAGGACAAGAATAATTCTTAACGACACATATCTTAGCAGCAGCTGTATGTCGGATAAACGGTTTCCCATATATTTAGCTTTGTTAGCGATTTTCTCTAATTCGGAAACTCACCACTTTAGGCTGCCCCCTTTATTTAGATTAATAAATTTCTGATTTGATTATGTTCTAACGGCAAGCGTTGTCTTACTGAGAGTGCTATTCGCTTTTGAGTGCCTATTGTAAATGAGTACTGTTTAAAGGCGCTTTTCTAACATATATTCTTGCGTTTGAGTACCAAAGCGCGCTTTTCGAATTCTGAATAATATTTGTATTTTGTGTATCATCTAAAGCAGAGTGCTGTTTCTTAACACACTGTCTCTAGTTATTTTGTTCAAAGAGATAAAGGTTTATATTAGCACTTAATTCGAAAGATTTAATACTGCGTGAAGCTATGTTTAATGAATATTTATCACTCGTAGATAGAAACAATTTACCTTGCATAAGATATTTTAATATTTTGATGCTTTAATATACTACTAATACTTTTTAAACTGCGGTCGGAATATCTAAAATTGAGTAAAGTACTGCATTAAAACAAACCAAAAGAATGAGTTTATGTTCTAAAAATATTTAGGTTAGGTTAGGTTATTGAAATACGCCAAAGGCACGAAGTTTATATGCCTAAGAGGAGGGATACCATAGCGGAGAAAGTCCTGAAGAAACACTGATTACTATTTACGTTAAACGTGAAGAAAATCAACCATGCAGCCAGACCGTTTGCCTAAGATCGAACCTAAACTAGGTCGAATAACCAGAATTCAGCTGTCTTAACCACTCGGAAATTGGTGAGGAATAAAAATATTTACATATTGTAAAAATCACTTCTAAGTACCATTAACTAGAAACAATCTAAATCAATTTAAGAAGAGATAATTATTGCATTAAATTAAAGTCTTCATCTTTCGTTTTAGAAAAAAAATTGATTTTAAATTTAAGTGCAATTTTTATAGACTTCAGGAAGAGTGTTTGTATGTTATGAAAGATGAAAGCGCATTAAGTGTTAACAGTTTTCAAGTTCTTGTATAGTTAAAAAATTCTAAAAATACTTATGGTTAAAAGCCTATTTTAAAATTGATCAAATTTATTCATAATTTCATAGAGATGATTTTATAATTTTAAAACAGATGGTTGCATAGTTTTCCTCCTTGCCACTACGTGGCTATAATGTCGATGTTTAATCTTGAAGAATTACCGACAGAGGGCTTCATTTGTTATGGAAACATATAAAAGGCCGAGGATATAATTGGCAAGTCACTAGTTGAGGTATCAGTCAGTTAGCCTTAGCATCTCTATGGTGGAAATCTTCGTTCCGTTCTTTAGTAGACTTCGCCAACTATCGCTGTTTTCTGAAATTAACTCTGAGCTTATTTCATTTACAATTCTCTTAAATCGATAAACATTTAAGACGTCTATTCCTGCAATATTCAATATAACAGCAGATACTCTGAGGTAAGCTTACTTTTCTTTATTAGAATGGATTAATCTGCTTTTCTTTACTTCTTTTGCGCTCACTCCTAGTATTCTTAGAAAACTTCGCAATTTCTAGGTGCAACCTTATTCACCTCTCTTGTCTTTTCAGAGCTATTTGCATGTTTACTTTCATTA